GTCTTCTTTTGTAAACCGCAGCCCTCTGCTGTAAATATACTGCTCAGGATCTAAATTTGATTGTTCCTCGGATATTGACTCTGCAAACGCCAGCTTTACCAAGCGCTCGATGCAATCTTGGATTTCAGCAGATTGTTGATTCAATAATGATCGGTTTCCTTGCAGGCGCTGTACTGTTTCGCTGATGTCAGATGCAATTACATTGACGGCAGCAAGGTAGATCCAGAATGTGGAAGATTGCTGGCTGCTTCGTCTTTCCATATTCAACGATTCGTAATGGTTAATAATTTCGGTCCGGTGAATCAAGAGATATGAAGACACACGTGACAGTGACAGCCACCGCGTTCCTGAAAGGGCAGGGCATGTGGATTGCAAGCGATCGATTAGAGATTTTTGACGACGAAGGTGGGATATCATTCCAGTCAGACCCTGATAGAACTCGCCCTCGTTTACGTTGCGGAATGTTCGCTGCATGACTAGATCCACCTGATGCAAAGCGCACCAGATTCTCACAAACCCTGGAAGTGCAACTTCAGACAGACGTGTTACCAGTCCGGAGATGTGTCCAATCATGTTCGGCGCACCATCTGTAGAACATGCCAGGATTTTCGATTTCCAGTTTGGGCACAACGCGCTCAGTACTGTTTCCAATACGTCAAACATTGCAGCTCCGGTATGGCTGCCAGAAAATGGCACGGCAATCAGGTGGTAATTTTGCAGCTTTCCACCTGTGCAAAAACGAACTCGTATATCAATATATGAAGTGCTCTGGCAACTGGATCCGTCAGCAGCGACAGAGAAAGCCCAGCAATCGGACAGTAAATCCGATAAACGTTGGAACGCTACAGCACATAAAATCCGCACGTGCCTAGCAACTGTGCCTTCGCTGCAATGACCTAGTTGGATACATCCAGTGATGTCTTTGGCATCTTGAACAGCTCCAGCCGCCTGGCGGAAGGACAGTCCTCGACCAACAAATCTTGTAGCTAACTCGTACTGTTTCACCTGCTTGATCCAAACAGAATACTTTTGTGTTGCTTCGTCGAACGAAAATACCGAGAGCGGATTTGCAGTCGGAGAGCCTCCTCCTTCTTCAGGAGTACAAAGCAGAGTACCAATTATAACTTCGACGATTTCTTTGGAGATCACAAACTGAAGGGGTGTCGACTGTGGCTCCAAATGGAAACTAATCAGCTCAGCGGCCTTGTTTGATACTTCAAAGAACGTCTTCTTTTCTCCGTCTGAGAGAGACTGATAAAGAGTCCACTTCTCTGGATGCTGGGTCTGGAGATGGCTGCGGTAGTTTTGCGGACGAAATGGTCCTTGAAAGATCCAACACGTTTGAGAAGCTTTGTTTTCGCGGCCGAAAGCAACACAGAACTGGCATCGTGCACCAAGAATTAAGCCTCCTGGCCCATGATCGCACGGCTTCACCCCATATTGTAGGGCATGTTTTAGTTGGAAAGGTGTGGTGACAGAGCCGACTTTCTGTTTCTTTGAAGGTTGGGAAGACATCGTACAGGGGTCGGCAACACACTCAACACAGTAAAAGATGCCGCAACTGGTCCAAAGAATGATCAAACTGGAAATGATCAAGAAGACAACGTCAAAGGCGCCGGACTTCCTGAATCCGTGATCCG